GATTTTCTCCATTTAACTCAAAGACTCATTGTCGTAGTAACTTGCCTTAGTTTGCTTGCAATTTCCACTCACATTAATGTGCTTGCAGTGTAGATTTCATTTTTCCATCTCGCATGCCTATTCTCCTACACTCCCTCCTTTCAAAAATGAAGAAACTTCTATCAAAGCTCGCACCTTGTTCATAGAAGAATTTAGCCATGGACTCCAGAGCATGTAACATTTGAACTTGAAACGCTAAGTTTGCGATATTCTTTCATATTTAATTTATACACTCTGGATTTTGGACCGCTGAATATGATGCATTCAAGAAATTCAAGAGAGTGCGCTGGCAGCCGCTGGTCCCATATGACTCTTGCTGAACGATTTTGTTGCATTCAAGTTCACCGTGGCTTTGGGAAATGCTCCCGCAATTGTATGCCTTTTTTTCTTTGCTGAGTCTTGATTTCATTGCCTTATTTATCAGTCGAATTTGGGAGCTGCAGTGGATTTAAAGGAGAAACCGATAACTAACTTTGTCTGTCTTTGACAAGACTAATAATCCGACGGTCTACTGCAGAGTTCAACGCCGTCACTTAAGTATGTGTGGCAAATTTACACCTCACAGTACGATTAAGGATTGAGATGAATGAAGCGCAACGATACCAATATAAAACTTTTTGGGGAACACGACTTGATCCATTAAAAGTGCAGTGATTGATTGAAAAAGCTAATAAAATCACTCATTGTCTTCAAAAAAATCTTCAACCCCAAATGGGGTGGGAGTGGATATAAGCAGAATGAACGCTGGTTAGTGTGCTCTAAGTGCAGCATTATGAATTAGAGATGGATGAATGGGAAGGGAACGCAATGCTCTAATAAGTTTATATATGTGTGAAACGTGCTAAGGTGTAATGACTGCACTAGTGTAATGACTGCACTAACTACGGGCGTCTCGGTAGTACCCGAGAAGACAAGGAAGATGTACAAGAGAGGCGAACAAGAAAACACAAAATCCACTTTTCGATAACTCAAAGAGTGGCTGCATTCAGTCTTTGGAAACAACGAAGGCAAAACAAGAGAACGCACATAGACAAGCGCACTTTAATAACTGAACTATTAAAAAATAGGACGCCTTAATAGAACTGAAATTCCAAGTTAAAGTAGATTCCACTAGAGGTAGTAGTCGCAATGTTTGAAAATCGATACCACATGGATAACTTGGAGCGGATAAGCGACAGACATAGTATACGATACAGCCAACAATGAGACAAAGGTTTTAGGTGTTGTAAGGATTCCAGCAGAATTTGAACAAACACTATTTTGTTTCTCCCAAGAAAACACATTGGAATTTTTAAGCACAAACGCAGCAGAAAGCGTAATGTGTATAGCCGTGACTTCTGGAAGAGACCTGCTTAAAATTGAATATAATGCTAAGTCAATAAAAGCAGAGAAAAGAGCCATATCGCCACCATGTAAGGAATCTAGTACAGCGAACTGTGTCCCGTGATCAAGTAGAATTGGGTACAAATCTTTCTTTAGCGTGACGATTTGAACGGTAACCGTACCAGTGTACAGCATGAGAGAAACTTTATCATCCCTACAAAAAGCTATTACTCCTTTCATTGAAGCTAAATAGATGGGAAATGAGGAGGTTGCGCTATACCAGGTAGCAGCACTATAGAAAATGGACCATAGTGAAAAAAGTTTTTGTGAGAACATGTGAGAATCGGAGAAGACATTTCAAAAAAGTGAAGAGATTTCAAATAATTACATAGATATCGCAGTAAATGACAAAGAGTTACAGCAAACTGACCTCACGAAGATGAGAATAGAGACACGAACCATGCACCAGGCAATTTGAAACTTAAATTAGTCTTTATAGGAATCCGCCCAAAGTCGAGGAACTATTTCTTTGTCTTTTATGCTGCAAGAAATGAATCAGTGAAAAGAGTGTTGTTAGATAGTAAGCATCCTAGAGGCCAGGTAGGCGGGAAATGACAGGAAACGAGTGGCATATAAGGGGCTGTCTGTGCCAATCGAGGAGTTTCGCGTCGAGGCGAGTTCGAGGGAGAAGTTCTGTGTCAAGACGAATTCAAAGAGCAGAGTAAACGCGAGGGTTACTGTCAAAGTAGGGTAACCGCGAGGGTTATCGTTAAAGGATTAAGGTAAGGCAATGGTTACCTAAAGGGTTCACGATAACTGAGAGGGTCGTCGTGTACCGGCATGGGATAGCCAAGAAGGTTATCAGTTTAAGCCGTAGGTGAGAGCCAAGGGGCCCTCAACTTCATCGCATCGTCGTGTAGCAAGCGCCACCCAGAAGATTACTTTCCAACACCAAAGGATTATTGCATGTAGTTGTATCCTGTATTCTGTGCTATTACAGTAAACAGTTCGTAATCCGAATGTGCTTCTAATTCCATGGCAGATTCGGTCCACAATTTTACAAATCTGGGCTCCGTACATTACATGCCGAATCGCTCTGAGAGAAAACCGAAGAACAGAATTGGATTAGAAAGGGTACATTAAAATTTTACTATTGGAAGGTTGGCCATTGATTTGGCGAATTGCAGCAGTGAGAGAAGAGAGGTCACATTATAGTGACAGTGAAGGGATTTTTTTTTCGGGGAATTACCAGAGTTACTTATTTTTTATCTACAGCATAAAGCAATGGAGACGGATATGGCTAGCGGCGAGGGATATGTACGCTCTACAGAGATAAAGAATACACTACAGAGTGCAAAAAGCGCACGGAGATTTTGCAGACCCAAAGAAGAATAAGCATCTTACCAAAACAGGAGTCGGGAAGCAGACTAAGAAGAAAGTTGATCAAGAGTTGGATCAAGCCTGCTGTAAAGCAGAAGAACTGCGACTACTTGCAGAACCATAGTAATTTGTCAGGGGATCTGTTAAATGAGGTTTTAACCGTTGACCCAAGGGGCTTAGCAACAGGAGATGGCTGGAAGACTTGCGTGAGGACTTTGAAAAAAATGGAAACTGCCTAGCGGAGATTTGTGAGAAACTCAACACATACAGCATGACACGCACGTTTGATATAAGAGACAAGAGGTTACGTTTTGGATCTTGGTCTCCAAACAATGAAATATTTAGGAGGATTAGCGTGCGCAGACGCAGGAATTTCCAAAGGTGGTAAGATTTTGAAGAGTTTTGAGGCGTTTGTAGAGGAAATGTGCAGCGGTGATTACAAGTGGAGATGTCTGAGCTGCTTGCAGAGGACTCAGTGACTTGTAGAATGAGGGCCATTATAAAATTAAGACATCTCGAAATACGCCATCACCAGATTTCCGATTTTCGTGCAGTGCTGAAGAAGCGTGAAAGACAAACAGACCCTAGAATACTGTCACCGATAGGTCGGTGAAGTATGCTCAAATTCTGCACAAACGTCTGAGCGATTGGTCTGTACATTTTTAACTGGTGGGACTGCTACAAGACGTAGATCCCAGTGAAGCATATGAAAGGGTTAAGCAGTTAGCGGTAGACATAGAACAGTCAAAACTGAAATTCCTTGCAGGTCCTTTCGCCAACCAAAGAAAACTATGGGACATATTTTTTCTAGTTTTGCTTTATAGAAATAGTATTTGTCTTAATGCTAAAATAAATGCATAAAACACGCTATAATCTAAGTACACATATATGTGTTAATAAAAGCGAGCAACAAAAATCTCCATAATGTGAAATTTAAAAATAGATATATGCACATTTTATTGACTGCGGAATGAGGAGTTAAGGATCTTTGAGCTTGCGATTACGATCAAATGTGTACAATTGCACCTCTTTGGCTGGTTCGTACTAACTTACCAAACATCTCAGTTTAGATACGACAGAGCAAACGGTAATTCCAGATTGATTTCATTGTGCACTCAAGCAACATTCAAACTTATTTTATACAATGTATTATCATTGATCGTATATCAGCGGAGTTATTGATTAACATACAACAAGGTTCAGGTTGAAAAGAAACGTAGCTAAAGAAAGAAGAAATCAGAATAACTGGAAGGGATAGTAGCGATGAAAAGGAGACTCGGTTGTCAAAATGGCCATCGGCTTGATCTAAGTGGTATTATTTCTCGCGGAGTTCACCTCCTTGGTAGAGCTAGTTTGGACACTTCGAGATACCACGACAATGTGAATATTTTTGCTCCTTATAATGGACTCGATGAAGTTTCTATATGGAGTTATATAGTATAAAGTAATCATTGGATCGAGAACAGGTTCTGAAAACTTTAGCGACTTATGAGCATTTCTACAAGTAATTGTCCATTTTTTTTATTATAAGAAATTTTATAGTAAAAATGTTGAACTGATTCATCACAAAAGAGTCTACAGCAGCGAGTACTATATGATTTCGTTACAGCTATATGTATTCCTAAAAATTCAGCTCGGGCGCTCCTGTTTTAGGATGGGCCATAACTTCCGCTTTTCTAATCTGATAAATTAGTTTCCGTGATCCAACTCATCTTCGCAACTGCAAATTTGCGCAGAGTATAGCCAAATGATTTATCAAGTACATATCAATAGAAAAAGAATATCAATCACCAAAACACCTTTGCTCTGCTCTAACTTTTATCATCTCTCGCAATCATGTCGCATTGCCGCTCTTACCCTGTGCCTTCCCTATCATGATAATGATATAGTACACTCGAAAAAGATGAACATTGAATAACATCCCCTTCCATATCTTCCATCTATCTTATTGACAGAATCAAATTTGACTTCGAAAATAACCGCGATCGTTGTAGTTGGCTCAATTTGCTGAGGCATAGAAATTTAAATTGAATAAGTCGAAAAAATAGTGATGCAGAACCTCGAAATGTGCGAATGGATAGCCTATAGCGTACAAAGGTTCAAAAAACTAGGATTCTATTGGACTTGCCGCGCTCGACTACGCTTTCTGACCTAAACCTCTTCATTTCAATTGTCTCAGAAGCTGATCACAACAACCGAATTTACTCTTAAGTTGCTCTCCATATTCTTCTTCGAATCGCTCAATTTTACCGTTTTGCTTTCGTTATTATATATGCAATATAATAAATACCTTATAAAACTTATGAACCAAAAATTACCAAAACATAGGCAGGGCAAAAGAAAAAAACTGAACAAATAAGGTTGAAGGTAAGCGAACTGGATAAGCCAAAAGCCAATAGCAGGTGGAAAAATAGACAAAGCGGGTGTAAGAGATTGCAAGGTTAGAGCCTGTAATTGTCCATATAAGCTTCTCAAGACCTTTTTTTTTTAAATATTGAGAGCCTTCCAAACTAGACTAACCCTTACAAACTGCTTGATATTAAGACTAGTTTGGGAGGAATATATAGAATTAGCATCGTTGAGAAGAGAGAGTATTCTCCAACGACAAATGTACATAACGGTATAAACAATGATATTGTGAAATGAGCAGCACCACAGTATCCAAACGTTACAGGGCTGTAAACAAATAAAATATGTATCATATTTTCAAAGCTTAGGTGCTTACGATGCTCTCGCATGACCCACAATGATACCCTTGCAACAAAACAATTTTCTGTCTACTAACTAGTTTTGCTGATTTTCTAAAAATAAGTCTTTTATGTTATGTCAGTGCTTTAATGGTTACTAATCAACATCCTACGAATAATACTTAGTTTAAATAGGAGCAAACCTTTTGCGATACCTTTCGCGGAACGCTAAAAATGAAATTCTTTCCTACTGAAAATTAGGAATTTGCATAGCTTACAAAGCAGAAGCTTTCTTTTGAGAGCGAGAACTTCTGCACATGCGTGAAAGCAGCCAACACCCATTTATTTACGTTTTTGCTTTGTGGTGTAGATTTAACTCTACGTTGTAAAGCAATTTTTTTGCTTTTTGCTGCGGTTTTATTTATAACGATCGCTCTACGGACTGTTTGAAAGTTTCTCTAACAAGCGTTGGAACGGCTTCACATAAAGCTCGATGTCCCTTACTGCGTATAGCGCTTTGTTCTCGCAGCAAGATTCATCTCATTTCGCAAAAGAGATATTAGAATATCTTAATATCAATATAATAATATCATAATATCCTTTTTGTGAAATGAGGTAGATCTTACTGCGGGAACAAAATATTATAATCGACTTATTATATACTAGACGGAAAAGTTATTCGCACTTTCCCGACAGAAGATGAAATCGATCAGAAGGGATTCTACACCAATTTCCGCTCATCAACACCTACGTCAAACTTATCTCCACTGGAGAACACCACCACGGATACCAGTTGCTGAAGTACGCGCCGCAATCCAGACCATAGAGGCATGGCTCCAAGGTCGGTCCACGTTTTAACCAACCTCTTACGAGCCAGAGGACATCGCCTGCATGAGATACCAGCGACGTTAGATCTTAGATTAGGAGAGACTTTGCAGACAATCTTGTTTCGTAAGAAGGGCTTTAGGGGGGATTTTTGGAATACTGTCCAATGCCTGCTGAGCCTGTTTTACAGGCTCTTCACGAGATCATTGTCACAGTCAAGGGCGCTAGATGAAGCCCAATCTGCAGAGCAAGCACAAGCTGGATCTTCTTCACAACCAGACGGTTTCGAGGATTGTCGAGGTTTGCCGAGAGCACGGTCTACCTCTCTTCCTAACCTTCGCTGCGTCT